TAAAGAAAAGAGAAACTAACATAAGAAAGGAGGAAGAATGAATAAATAAATGATTTTCGTCCCATAGGAGAACATTAGCATTATGAATATGATTATGATAAGACGTGCAGTTATGCGAAGGCAATCATGTACAATTAGTGAGAAAATTTGAAAGCACTCCAGAAGTTATCTTTATTGCTGTTATTATTGCTGATAATTCTAATTTGTATAATGATTATGTTTTTGTTTTTTTTTTTTTTTTTACAGTAATAAAGGTAAGAATAAAGATACACTATGGATAGTGACAGTAAGAGCAAGTGCTATGAGAATTACGGCTAAGATGGTAATAATGATTATCATTATCCGTGTCGTTATTGTTGTATTATTGGCATTATCGTTACTATTATCTTTTATCATTATCAGTGAAATCGTTATCATCATCGTCGCTATCATCACTATAATAATAATTACCATCATCATAAGTTTAATTACTATCGAAAATATTGTCTTTATTGCTAGTATTATCAGCATGGTAATATTGCTGTCGATACTATAAACATTATCAAAATCATCATTACCGGAGAGAATATTAGGATCACTACAAATATCACAACCTCAGCAAACTTGTCAAAATCAAAGTAAAAAGAAAAAAAAAAAAAAAATCCCCACACACTGCCCCCCCCCCCCCGAGACCACCAACGACCCCCAAAACAACAAACTCGACGACGCATCGATCTCACTCCTTCAGGCTCTCGAAGTACTCCTTGGTCCAGGTCTCCAGCGCGAAGGCCTTGGCGGTCGTCAGGACGTCCATGTCGGAGTCGTAGTCGAAGTGAGGCAAATCGGACGACCACAGCAGATCCAGTTTCACGTCGAAAAGCTCTCCTTCGGGCTGGTCGTAGCGCCTGCGGGGACGATCGCATGTGGGGGGTGGGTGGCTTTGAACTACATGCATCTATGTATAGCAATTTGTATGTCTGTCTATAGCTCTATGTCTGTTTATCTGCCATTCAAACTATCTATCTATCTGTCTGTTCTCTTTGTCTGTTCATCTTTTAAACTATCTATCTCTATCTATATCTGGGGTATCATTGGTATTCGTCAAGTAATTGTAAGATTAAGAGAGATTCAATATAAATATAATGGTGAAAATGAAAATAATGGTGAAAATATATTTGGTAAAAATAAATACAATTGTGAAAATAAATAAATTTAATATATAAGCGAAAATAGATTATTAAATTAATATAAAATAAATATAAGAAATAAAATGGAGGAAATAAATATATGGTTAAAATGAATATAAGAACGAAAATAAATGCAATAATGGAAATTAATATAATAGCGAAGATAAACATAATGGTGAAAATAGATATAATGGTTAAAATAAATGTCCAAAAAATATATATCTCGTGTGTAGCCGGAAATTACCAAATCTATGTAATGAATAAATTTATATATATACATATTGTATATATTATATATATATATATATATATATATTATATATATATATATATATATATATATATTGTCTCTGGTTCTCTTCTTAATGACAAAGTCAATTCTTATTCAAGTTAATATATTACAGACAATGCCCAGGAAAAATACCATAACATACTCCTCTCTGCGAGCACTAAACTTTTAGCTTTTATACAAACACACACACACACACACGCACGACACACACACACACACACACGCAACACACACACACACACACACCACACCACACACACACCACACACACACACACACACACACACACACACACACACACACACGCACACAAATCCATTCATCCGTCAGTAGCAAACCAACCAAGCGTCCGGTCATTAAAAAAACCAGACACAGCGTCCCTCCGTTATCTAATTTAATAACTTAATTGACTAATTACATAAACATATCTTCTTCCTCGGTTCTGCGGGTCCGAGGCGCGGGCGCGGAATGTGGAACGTGTCCTCAGGCGCCCCTTCAACGCGGTGAAAAAGGAGTTAAAAGAACCGTTGATTCTTGTAATGTATTTTAAACGGTTTGTTGGGGTTCTTTTTATATCTCGTTTCTGGGACTGGTAAGGCTGATAAGTTTTAGCTTGGTTGGTGGTATCATTACCGTGTGTGGTATTTAGGATCAGTACCATTGTGGAAAGGTATGAATGAGAACGAATATCTTTATAATACAAATGTATTTGACCGGTTTCGATTATATCTTCGTCAGAAATACATGGTATATGCCGCTGATATAATCGAAACCGGTAAAATACATCTCTTGTTTTGTGAAGATATTCGTTCTCATTCATATCTTTCCACATTTGTCAACATGAATACGGTTCATCAGTACCATTTTAGTTATTATTCTCTTTATCGAGAATTAGTCTTCTTATCTTTTTGTCGTTGTGACATAACAGGTATCCCTTTATAAAAGTGTTTGCATATGGAATTAGGTCATATTTTTATTTCTTTACTGTTCTGTTGTCCCTAGCTGGTCCGAGATATTATTGCTTTTCTCATACTGTTGCACA